AATGTGGTAGCCAGAGGATAACCTCAGGTGTCATTCCCCCTCATGGTGCTGTGTTTTGGACACAGTGTCCCAGTGGTCTGGGGTTTGCTATCCAGGCTAGACTGGCTGGTCAGAAAGTCCCTAGGACCCACCGGTTTGTGTCTCCTTGGTGCTGGGGTTACAGGTTTATGCCATTGTGTCTGCTATTTACTTAATTTTTAAACCTGGGTTCTGGGGACCAAGCTCAGGTCCTTACACTTGTGCAGCAAGAGCTTCTCCTGACAGAACTCTCTCCCCAGACTCCACTGTTATTTCTTGTAGAGATTTACAAAAGTGAGCCATTTGAGAAGCCCCTTTCCCTCTATCGACTTCAAACTGTTAGTTGTCTTGTCCTCTGCCTCCTGGAGAGTACAAGTCAGCAAGATGAGGGAGGGGCACCACAATGAGAGGTAGAACTGTGATGGTTATCCTGACCACCTCCTCTGGTCAGCCTCATGCAACTCAGTTCCTCCTTCCCAGAGCAGTGACCCTGCCTCCATGTCAGTACTCCTGTCTGGACTGCTGCTTAGAAGGAACAGAAGAGAATGAGTGAGCTCTTTCTGGAAACCTAGTAGCAGAGTAGGAAAACCATTCTCAGACATTGTGTAACAGGTAATACAGGATAATAAAGGCACTGTCCAGGCTGTGGTGCAGTGAGAAGAGAAGAACAGGGCAGAGCATGCTCCCTGAGAGTAGAAGTCTTCCAGGAGAGAGCTGCAGGTGGAACCTGACGAGCAGGAGTAGGGACAAATTCAACACATGCTTTGATTACTACCTAGTTATCCACCTACATGACATCATGGCTTAGCTTTTATTATCATCTAATTAGTGTCACAGGCTCTTTTGTTTCATTTTTCTCAAATATACCCTCCCCTATATACCCACCTCTAAACACCCACTCCTATATACACACTTCTACATACAACTATATACCAACCACGAAATACCTACACCCACCCCTATATACCCAACTTTAAACACGCATGCCTGTACACCTATCTCTGAATACCCATGCCTATATACTGACCCTTATATACCCACCTCTAATTACCTCCTCTATAAACTCTAAGAGAGGGTCTGCTGTTTGTTCTCTTACAGTGCCCATAGCATCACTCTGTAATGTGATCTGCACAGAGTACTGCTGGATAACAGTCTGTGATTTAATAAAGTTGTATGGAGTCCGGGCGGTGGTAGCAAATCCCAACATTCAGGAGGCAGAGACAGAGGCAGAGGCAGAAGCAGGCAGGTTCTGTGCTTTCAAGGCCAACCTGGTCTACAGAGAGAGTTACAGGACAGGCTCCAAAGCTACACAGAGAAACCCTGCCTTGAAACCCATCCACAAAAAAAAAATAAAAAAAAAATAAAACAACAACAACAACAACAAAAACACTCTGTATGGTTGTATGGGAAAATAAAGCCAAAGCAATATATATATATATACATATGCATACTTACATATATACATATATATGCATATGTATGTATATATATGTATATACTACATGCACACAGTGTTAGCTTTCTCATCACTGCATATGTATGTATATATATATATGTATATACTACATGCACACAGTGTTAGCTTTCTCATCACTGTAGCAAATACCCAAGAGAGCAACTTAATATTTTGACTCATGGTTTCAGGCCATGTCTGCCTGTCCCTATTGCTGGGGGCCTGTGGGAAGGCAGAGCCATCATTGAAGGGGAAGCAGTGGGGCCAAAATGCAGAGAGAGAGAGAGAGAGAGAGAGAGAGAGTCCTAGTAGGTGGGCTTCATTCTTCTTCCTCTTTTATTACAAGGGCTCTTTAGCCAACTGGATGTTATCACCCACATTCAAAGAAGGTCATGTCCCTTCAGTTAACTGACTATGGAAATTACTTCACAGACATGCCAAGATGTGCCCTTTATTGATCTTTTAGGCAACTCTCAATTAAGTCAGACTGACAATCAAGATAAACCAGCAGATATGTATTAACAACAATTTGTTGTAACTGTTAACGGCCTAAGTAAGCCAGGATTTAAAACAAAACAAACAAAATCAAAACCTTGTTTTGAAATCAACACAGTGTTTATTTTCATAAGATTTTTGGGCACAGTCATTGTCCAGTCGTTTATGAATTGTCAATGCCTGCTCTCATGATATAAGGAACGGCCAGCTAGTTAGAACAGAGCCAAATGGGCAATAAAGCTTTTAGTGTCTAAACCATTAGCTGTTTGGAGCTTCATACAAAAGGCTGCCAGTCACAAATCTAATCTCTGGCCATTGTTGACTGATATGACTATAAAGTGTATGCTGTGGATCCAGGTTGTGCTAGTCCAAGTTAGGATGTCAGCTCTAATTCTGGTGAGTTTTCTCTCCTAGGTTGCTGACTGCTACCAACTGTATCCTCAAACAGCAGGAGACTAGGAAGTTCTTAGAGTCCTCCTCATGTGGGCATTACCAAGGGCATTACCTTATGGTGATCTGATTTCATACCATAGGCTCCATTTCTGCTGTCATGATCAGGGCTAGGATTTCTTTCTTTTCTTTTTTAGATTTATTTATTAACTATGTATACAATGTTCTGTATACATAATCAGATCTCATTACAGATGGTTGTGAGCCACCATGAGATTGCTGGGAATTGAACTCAGGACCTCTAGAAGACTAGCCAGTGCTCTTAACCTCTGAGCCATCTCTCCAGCCCCCGGGGCTAGGATTTCAATGTAAGCATCTAAGGGGAATCACATCTAGTCTAAAGCATTGCGACACCCAAGTACCTATTACTGCAACATCCACCTAAACGTCCTAAATACCCATGCTCTCCTCTCATGCAGGAGTTGAACCTTCAATTGTATAGGTTAGCAATCTGATGGTGATGGAGATAGGATCACCACCTTAGTTAGCACGGTAGATCATCATCCTATCTTACTGCCCCTACAGGACACATGCAAGATCACTTATGTTCTTGTCTCTGGCCAATGTGATGCTATGTGTTGCTGCAGGACCCTTAGCATATTAGTAGGGCAAGTAAGAGCCTTTCTGGATGTGCAAATGGGATAGACAGTGTGGAATTGTATCCCTGTGACCAATCCAAACACTCTGCCAGTGGGAGTCTTGGGGGTAATATGTATCTTACTGTACACGAGAGGCTTCACACCAATTAGACCACTGTTTCATGCCTGAGTTACCATCTTCCCTAACAGCCTACCAGATGCACCCTGGATTACTCCCACCCCATTTGGTTTCTAGGAAGAGTCAGGGTACACCTGGGTGCCATGTGAGTTATTCCACATCCAAAACTAATGCTATCTTAAAAGCGTCTCCATGCTCCTAAATTCTGTAGTTTTTAAAAACAAGTTAAACTGTATTAAATGACATGAACTTACCTGCACTATTAAAGTAGTACTGCTGTCCTGGATACCCAACAGTGGAGGAAAAAATGCCTAAACACAAAGGAAACCCACATTTTAATCGTGGTCATAAGATTTTAGCTGCTACTCTTTCCAACAAGTACACAGTTTTTCATGAGCTAGCCCAGGGTCACTTTAAATGATTTCTAAATAATTGTTAAAACAAACTTCGTTTGTTTGAAGCCAACCTTTGAGGGGACAGTGTGTGTGTGTGTGTGTGTGTGTGTGTGTGTGTGTGTGTGGGTGTGTGTCAGTGAAACTAATTTGCATGCACTGTGGTTCCTTACAGGTGCTAAGTGACATCATGTGATTCTTGTTCATGGGGCACCAGGCTTTGGGCTCTGAAGCCATTGTCAAAAAACAGAAAAGCTGTGGTGGGAAAAAGCCTTCTAACAAGGGTGTTAGGAGAGCAATGTTCCCTCCCCTTCCTAAAGGACTTTCTTTCCCTGGCCCAGGTGAACCAGACAGAAAGAGGCCCAGGCAAAGTTCCAGGACTTCTCTTAAGAAAAGCAAAACAGCAGGATCTGCACTCTTGGCAATGTTCTACAAGTTTCTGTGTCATTTCAATTCTAGGCTCACTAGCTGTCCTTTCTCTGCTTTCCTCAGAAAATGGTTTGCAGACCATTTTTAAAAATTAATTCTCTTTTGTGTTACTTTAAAAAAAAGATTGATGTAAAAATGTCAGCACACACACACACACACACACACACACACACACACACACACACACACAAACCAGCTATGGTCTTAAAGAAGGTTTAAATAACTTTAAATGTTATAATCATGGGGAAATCCTTTTTGGAAATTAAACCAATCATGTGCAGAGAGCCTTAGGAACTGCTAAATCTTGAGACACAGAAAAGTGAATCGAGATGATGCACTCTCCCCTGTATTAGTATTCATTACTAGAGAGGCACTGTCCAACTGTGCTGAGAATGTGATGGAGCCGGCACCATTAGTGAAGGCAGCTCCTGTTGCCTCCTCCAAGTGCACACTGGATATGGTAACGGGGGGGGGGGGGGGGGATGCACAGAAATGGGAATTTGGGTAGATACAGCATAGCTTGTAAAAATCACCCCAAAGTAAAAACAACCTGCCAATAAAGGCTGCAAAGCAGGGCCCAGAAAGCTTTCAAATGCCGTGAATATTATATAGTTCTCAAGAACAACAGTCATTGGCACAAACTGTGAAAACAAATTATTTATGGTTCAAGAAAAGGTAAAATAGTCTCAGAAGATTTCCTATGAATAAAAGATGAAATATTAGAATTCACATAGTCTATAAAACAAGTGTTTGCAAAACAGCTGCCTTACAAGTCAAAAACGGTACACTATTTTATATTAAAGGGTCTAAATGCATTCGCTACTAAATAAAACATTTTCATTGAACATCAATTTAGAGGGGGAAAAGCAAGGGAAAAAAAACATAGAAAATAAAAAGCAGGGACCAAACCTCAAGAGATAAATTACATGGCTTGGCTTCCCATGACAATAATGTCTTGCCCACCAAGGACTTGGTGGTCATTCTGAATTCTTCAAATTACTGGTACGCCAGTCTAGGCTTGGTTTCCTTCTGTATGTAACCTTGCCAGGCATATCTATTAATTCAAGGAATTTTATAGAAAAATACATTATTGTAAGTTCACGCTTTGAGGAAAATTGCAGTTTTTCTGTGAATGCATTAGGGCTGAGGGTAAAAGTCTATACCAGCATTTGTTCCTTAAGAACACCTCAGAATTGAAATTTGGGTGTGCACTCTCTTTTGTGGGGCAAAATGTGAGGACCTGTGATGGCTATCTTGACATCTCTTGGTTTAAAGAAAAATCTCAGTATATCAGGATGTCTCCAACATGAGCCACGAGGACTCTTGGGGCTGTTTCTGTGCACATGAACATGAAAAGGAACTCTTATATTTTGATTGTGAGCCGAGCCTTTAAGGGCTGAACCATCCCTCCAGCCTGAAAAGGAACTTCTAACTGCCGTCAGGCCAGAGGTGCTTTGTCCTGTACCTGCACATGTCTCCATGATTTTCTTCAAAGGACCCTGAGTGTACATCAGCCCAACAAGAATGCCAGCCAGATGCCCAGCGAAGGAAGTCCTAGGAGGGAAGGAGAGAGACCCTTAGTGACTGTTTGTTCTGTTGCTGATTAGAGACATTCTGTCTTCTCATTAGCCCAGTGCGAGCCAATTAGTCACAGTCCGAATGCTTTGTTCCACACTGAGCCTTTTATGCTGAGTAGCATTTAGCTCAGTCCAAAGAACAACATTTCCTACCTTAAAAGAAAGACAACAAAACAAGACAATGAATAATAACGTCCACACATTTAAAATGCATCACCCTTCCTTAACCGAGACACGTGTTTGTTTCTCCGCAGTGGATGTCTTTTGTCAAGACAAGCCATTAAATTACTTCCATTTCTTCCCTGGACCTCTTATCATCTCAAAAATGCCAATGAAATCAGTATTCTCTGCTCAGAATTAAATCTGGACTGCCCGGCCATTGTGAGGGGCAGCGTCTATCCATGTTCACGGGACGGCAGACAGCTGTGTGTTTATGCATGACTGACTAGTAGAGCAATCAGCCACCAAAACCCAGGGCAGATGCCCCTATGTACTACCCCCTCCATTTGTTTTCATGAAGTTAAAAGACTTCAAGCTTGGAAGGTGGGTTGGGCCCTGAATGACTCTACTCTTCTGGAATTATCATGGAAGTCTGGCAATCACTTATAAAATGTATTTTTAGATGCACACATCTATCAAGACAACAGTATTTCTAGAGGCCTCTGGGCTGGGGACTATGTCTGTGGAGTTCATTCAGCCCAAGAATTACTAGGGATTTATTGAGCTGCACATTTTACCACCAAGATGGCTGAGTTCCTCATGTCAAGTACCTGATCGATTGCCAGCCCGGCACCATCTAAACACACGGATTTGCACATACTCCTTCACCCTAACCTGGCTCTTTTCTGGGGTCTCACTTCCATACAATTGGTAAGCGCCAGCCTGTGTGTTTGTCACACCCAGTGCAGTTTTTGTACCCTGTCTTCCCACCCTAGCTATGCATGTCCTTGTGCGTTCCTGACGGGATACAAAACAAGGTGAGCATCAGATGAATACATGTTGAATGAGCAAAAGAAAAATCAGCTAATAAGCCACCCGGAGCTTGCTCTCCATTGACTCCCACAAATAGCATTCAGTCAGAGTGCGAGCCACGTTATTGCCTTCCTCTGACATCTACTGGTTTACTTACGGAGCACCCAGCATGCACTTGTCTCCAGTTCCTGCCTTGTTTACCTCTTCCCTATAGCCCCTGGACCCACTGTACTCATTCCCACACGTCCAAACACTCTCTGTGGACTGCAGTCCAAGCCTGATGCACCTCTGCCAAAACCATGAACTCACTCCTCCACGGCCTGTCCTCAGGCATATTCCTTCTACCTCATCGCAGCACACATCCAGCTACACTCCGCTGGCTAAGAGGGCTATTGTTTTCATCAAAAATCTACCGCATGGGATTTATAACCCAATAATAAAATACAGGATTGGTTCAGTGTCTGCCATGTTATGGGCAGGACAGTAGGAACTGTGCTTTTTGTTAGGGTGCCCCTCCCCCACTGCCCCGTGTTCATGTTACTCAACCATCATCAACAGCAACACACACAACTCCACCTAGTTAGAAGTGAGAAAGTGATAGTTTAAAGGAACAAAAAGCTTTGATTTGGCCGGGCATTGGTGGCAAACGCCTTTAATCCCGGCACTCAGGAGGCAGAGACAGTCGGATCTCTGTGAGTTCGAGGGCAGCCTGGTCTCCAGAGAGAGTGCTAGGATAGGATCCAAAGCCACACAGAGAAACTCTGTCTTGAAAAACCAAAAAAAAAAAAAAAAAAAAAAAAAAAAGCTTTGGTTTAAAAAGAAATTAACTTCAGTTTAACTAAAAAGAACCTTATTTTTTAAAGAATCGGTAATTTTGAAACCTTTTAAAAAACCAAGCTTCCTGGTGAATCGCAGAGATATAAAAATGAAACAGAAGGAAGTTTCAATTAAGAGTCCAACCTATTAGACAGTTAATCTTAAATCTCATTTACAGTTTGGAGCATAATACAGTAAAATGAATTCCTTATCTTTATAATGGGTTTCCAGAAGTCTGAGTTATAAGTCTAATTGCTCTGATATAATTAAAATAGCAAAGGCGGAACCCCACATCCTGCTCCAACCCTGAGCAGTGGTTGTTATTATTTCGTCTTTGATCCACAGAAATGTTCATTTTTAAAATAAAGAGAAGATACCATCCACAAAGGTCCCAAAACACGAAAATCAGCTATTGTTATTATTTCATCTTTGATCCACAGAAATGTTCATTTTTAAAATAAAGAGAAGATACCATCTTAATCAAAACTAGGTATCTTACATCACGCAAAAAAGGGGAGAAGTTCTCCACAGAAAAAATGAAATATAGCTTGTTTTAAGAGTAGCATGACTCTTCTTTGCAGTTGGTAACCATTCACTAGAATGCCTCCCTTCCTCTAAGATACAGGCATCCTGAGTGCAAGAGCCTGAGCTCAGAGGTTACCTTTGGGAACAGAAGAAAGCCTTGGACTACACGGGAAAGACAGTCCAATCTTCAAATGTACCTACCCGCTTTGAAAACGCAAAGTGTTGTGACTGTCTTAGTTACTGTCCTCCTTGCTGAGACAAAATACCTGACCAAAGGAAGTTAAGGAAGGAAGGGTTGATTTCTGCTCCTCCCTAGAGAGAACAGCACGTCATGACAGCAGGAGCTGGAGCCAGCTGGTCACACCTTACCCACAGTCAGGAGTGAGATGGTTAGTGTGGGTCTCCCTACCTCAAGTAACCTAATCTAGAGAATCCTTCATAAGCAGGCTTGTCTCCTGGTTGAGTCTAGACCCCTTCAAGTTGATAATTAATATTAACCAATCACAATCCTGCCCCCTGTCAACTTGACTCTCAAACACATTACTTTTAAATCATAACTGTCCTCCTCTTGTCCCCTTAGATCATTTAATACTACAGAATATATTTTGTTCAACTTGGAAAGCCCACGTGGTCTTTTGATTCCAATACTGACTCTAGGCAATCTCTTATCTGTAAGAGCCTCTATAAAATAAAAACAAGTGTCAGACTTGCAATATACAGTGGCGAAGGGCACACATCCCCATTACTGCTGTGTTCCCAAAACATGAGAAGAACACTATTGCGTATCACATAAATGGCCTCAAGCCAGTCCTGAATAGTATCCTTGTTGTCCTCCAAAACCTGAGCTGGATCTCCATTGTACACATCTCCTTGTATTTCAAGAGTCTACCAAAAATGGTCTGTTAAGCTCTGCTTATGTAGGTACCCAATGCTTTTCTAACCCTGAATCTAACGTCTTCCACAGTCCTTCAAACAAGCTCCAAAGGCCTGGGAATCACATGGTCAGGGGAATCACAGCAATGGACCCACTTGTCAGCATCAGTTTCTATATTAGTTACTTTTTCTACGGTTGTGATAAAATACTAGACAAAAATAACTTAAAAAGAGAAAGTCTTATTTTGGTGATAGCTTGAAGCAGTTGGTTACGATGTATCTGCAGACAGTAATGAATGCTGGCACTCAGCTCCCTTCTGTTTTCTTCTGTTTTATTTACTTCAAGACCCCAGCCCAGTTAACAATGGTCTTTCTCTCTAATTTAACCTCATTTAGACAATCCCTCACAGGCATTCCCAAAGGCTAACTCAATCTACATAGTCCTTCACAGGAGTGTCCAGAGCTTACCTTCTCAAAGAGTTGAGATCCTGTCAATGTGTCAACCAATGTAAAGTATCACAATGATTGTAACTGTAAATGCTCAACAGAAACTTTGATCTCAAGGTTAGCTACTTTGTTTTCAGCTATACATGGATACTGACATCAACAACCTGGAGTGAAAGCAATTGCTTACAAGCAGAAGCATCTCACAGACTGGCCTCATGCCAAGGTGGCTGTACAACATATGAGAAAACACTGTTACACTGGGCTAGTGCCTCCATCTCAAAATTTGAGACACAGAAAGATGGCCATGAGTTCCAGGCCAGCCTGGACCATCCTAGGCTACAAAGTAAGACCTTGTTTCAAAATTAAACATAAAACAATAGTGACTCCCAGTGAGTGAATCCCAGCACTCGGGAGGTAGAGGCAGGCAGATCTCTGTGAGTTCGAGACCAGCCTGGTCTACAAGAGCTAGTTCCAGCACAGCCTACAAACCCACAGAGAAAGACTGTCTCAAACAACAACAACCACAACAAAAATCAAAAGAATAGTGACAAATTTTTTTTTAGTAATCAAATTACTGCAAAAGGCAGCCATTTATGCTAAGTACTTGAGTTTATTGTCCAATTTTTTTGTTTTGTTGTTGCTTCTGCAGTGATATCCCTCATTTCTGGGTTTACTTTCCTCCTTGCTAAAATGTAAATTTTATCAATTCTTTCGGCTATTGTTTCAAAATGGGGAAAAAAAAATCTTCCTAGTGTCTGGGTGTTCTAGAAGGTCTCTATTTGAGCAATCTCTGTCTGAGGTCAGGTATAGGACCTACTGCTGCTGCTAAAAGGGAGCAGCCACTCCTCCATATATGGTCTGTCTTGTCTCCCAGCTTCTAAGGTGTTCTCCTTACATTGGATATGTGGTATAATCCCACCATCATTCTAGTTTCACATCTGGTTTACTTAACTGGCTTACAATTTGCTATGCTTTTTGATATATGTTTCTGTCATGTGTTTCTACAGTTAAAAAAAAAAACCCCAGCCACAACCATTTTTTGAGATATGTAGCTGTTGTTTACTTGTTGACACATAAGGACATGGGTAGAAGAGGGAAAAAAAAAAAACAAAATAATAAAAGACAGAAAGTTAAAAATCAGTGTTATCATGTGACTTACTAGAATAATGATGGTGGAAAGGCAACTTCTGAGCAAAATTAAGACTGAGACACTAGAGATTTCAGTTATGTAAATGATATGCAGATACCATGAAAATCATTATGTTTTTTTCCTATGGAGCGCGTCACCATACCCTGATTGTCACCCTTTACAAGGACATCTGTAAGGATGAGATAAATTGTTCT